AGCCTCGGTGCGTGATGGCGCTGCGGCGCGGCGAACCGCGCACTCGCCGAGCGCCGACACGTTCTTGGCGCGACGGGCAGCGCCGCGCCAAGGCTGCGTTGTATGCGGGTGACGCCGCGGAGCGATCACCGCCATCGCGTGGTCCGCGATGGTCCGTGCGTGGACTCGCGCGATGGCGAGGGAGCAATCGCGCGCGCGCGGCGCGCGTGAGCCAGCCGCGCGCGGCGCGCGCCAGACCCCGCCGCGGCCGGCGCCCCTCGACCTGCGCGACCCTCGCCTCGAGAAGAGTCGCTCACGCAGCGTGTCGTGGGCCACGTCCTGTGAGAAGTCGCTGCCGAAGCGTTTGCGTGAAGACGCATTCGTCACGCCGCGCGCGCCGAGCCAAGCGCGCGGCGCGCGCCAGACCCCGCCGCGGCCGGCGCCCTGGCGCGGCGCGACCCTAGTAACGCCTTCTAGTGACCCTCGGAGTCTCGTTGCGCCGCTGTCACCGATCCCTCCCGGCCCGCCAGCGCAAGCGCGGCAGCCGCGGCACGCCGCGGTGCCTCCTTCAGCCACAGCCTGGGCCGGCGCTTCGCGCGGGTGACCGGCCGGACGCCCGGCAGCCCCCTCGACGGCCTCACTCCGGGCACAAGGGCCGATAGAGGCCTACAAAACCACCCTTTTCCCCTTTCCTCCCGCCTGCGGCGGTCGGTTTTTTTCTCCTTTCCCGCCGCCAGGCGTAATTAATTAGCCTCTAGAGCTCTGAGAGTTCGCGGCGATAGTTGCGAGCATGGACCTCTTCGGCGGCGCGAAGAAGAAGCGCCGGCGCGGCGGCGCGCGCGACGTCGGCGGTGGGTCGGCGGCGGCGGCGGGCGGCGCTTCGGCGGCGGGCGGCGGCTGCGGCGGCGGCGCCGTCGACTTCGCGGACCTGGGCCTGGCGCCCTGGGTCGTGGCGTCCTGCGGAGCCCTGGGCATGGCGGTGCCGTCGGCGATCCAGCGCGGCGCGATCCCCGCGACGCTCCGCGGCGACCACGTGCTCGGCGTCGCGGAGACGGGCAGCGGGAAGACGGCCGCGTTCGCGCTCCCGATCCTCGACGCGCTCTTCCGCGACCCCTTCGGCGTCTTCGCGCTGTGCGTCGCGCCGTCGCGCGAGCTCGCCGCGCAGCTCGCGGACCAGTTCGCCGTCTTCGGCGCGCGGCAGCGCGTCCGCGTCGCCTGCGTCACGGGCGGCGTCGACGGCGTCGCGCAGGGCCTCGAGCTCGCGAGCGGCCGGCCGCACGTCGTCGTCGGCACGCCCGGCCGCCTCGCGGAGGTCTGCGAGCGGTGCGAGGTCGCGGCGACGCTGCGCTGCGCGGCGTTCCTCGTGCTCGACGAGGCGGACCGGCTCCTGTCGCCGTCGCTCGGCCCGGACGTCGGCCGCGTCGACGCTGCGGTCCGCGGCGCCGCGCGGCGGCCGGGCGCGCGGCGCGACCTGCTCTACAGCGCGACGCGGTCCGAGGCGCTCGACGCGCGCGCGGCGGCGCTGGGGGCGACGGTCGTCGACCGCGGGTCCCCGGCGGCCGTGCCGGCGGGGCTGGACGCGGAGTACGTGCTCTGCCCGAACCGCGTCAAGTACGCGTACTTCGCGCGGCTCCTCGCGGCCCTGGGGCTCCTGGGCGAGGGCGCCGACGCGGCCGGGCCCCGGCCCCGGTCCGCCATCGTCTTCGCGCAGACGTGCCGCCGCGCGCACGACGTCCACGCGCTCCTCGACGCGCTCGGCGCCGACGCGGCGTGCCTCCACTCGAAGCTCGGCATGCGGCGGCGCCTCGCGGCCCTCGGCAAGTTCGCCCAGCGGTCCTGCGCGATCCTCGTCGCCACGGACGTCGCGAGCCGCGGCCTCGACCTCCCCGCCGTCGACCTCGTCGTCAACTTCGACATGCCCCGCGACGCCGACGACTAC